TTGGCTGAAGCCACAGTCTCACTGTGCCTGCGTCCTGCCCTGAAGGGTCAGCCTGCAACCACGGAGTTGGGAAAGAAGTGGAGTCTGGGAGTCCGGAGGCTAAAAAGAAGGATCAGGCCCCATCTGAAGGGGCCGTGGCCACTTCGAGGGCTTGCCACATTGGCAAAGCCTCACTTCCGCCCGCTTTCCTCAGCCAGCACTTAAGAAACAAGTGGTGTGCTTTGCTGCTATTTTTAGCTTTGGCTCCCAGGGCCCTCGGGCTTGCTCGCTGGCCTGGCTTCCCCTCTGAAGTTCGTCTTGTGCCTCACTCAGAACATTCCTGTCGTTTTGTCTCTCTGCCCCACCTCCCTCTCCAACTCTCCAGCTGAGCTCCACCTTCGGGAAGATCGGTGTCAAGGTCTTCCTGGTGAACATTCACGGTAAGAGGAGGAGGAGCAGGTCTGGGGGGCGGAAAGGCTGACCAGAGGCTCGGGTAGAGGCAGGTTGGTGGGGTGCTGAAGAGGGGTGGGGGAAGCCCCAAATCTTTCCCCAAACTATTGCCACCTTCAGACACAAGTCAGGGGAGACTGAAGCCGGAAGGTGTAAGCACCCTAAAAAACCAGCCGCCAGCGAGCCTCCTTCTGACCAGGGCAGCCCAATGGGAGGCGGGGTAAAACTGCAGGGGTTTTCATGGCTGACCTTGGGGCAGCTGACCACCCAGTCGACGGTGGCTCCAGCTAGCTGAAGCGACCAACCTTTGGGTTAGAAGCTCACGCTGTGTTTGTGCCCCAGGGATTCGGTCGACTCTTGTTCTTCCTGGTGGCAACGCAGTGCGTTGTGACTCAGGTTGACCCCGGGAGCACAGGATTTTCTCGGCTGTCATCTTTCTGGAAGATTACCACATCACCAGCTTGCCCTGCCTTTGGGCTCACAGCCAAGTGCTGCACCACTACACCACCAGGGCTGTGGGTGACATCCTAAGGGGCTCGGGCACAGAGGCGATGTGGGGGTCGGAGGCAGAACTGGAGAAAGGTCCACTAGGATTCCAGTCTGTTCCCGTGGCTCATTTGCCTGGTGACCTTGACCAAGTCATGATCTGTCTGGGAACCCATTTCCTCCTGTATAAAAGGAGATGGTTGGCTAAACGGATTTGGAGGGTCTTTCTAACCCTGGAAGACCGTGAATCCACGCCAGCACAGCGGGCAGTCTCGGTGGTACGAGGACAGGTCCTCAGGGCAGCACAGCGTCACGTGGTTTGCTGTGTGCACGACGCACACGGACGAGAAGCCACAGTGAGAGCACGCAGGTTCACGTGAGTGTGTAAGGCACACGCACATGAACCCAGCTCCACACTGACCTTCTGTCAGAACCTTCCTAGCAGGGCTGCTCCACTTCAGGGCTGGCCTGAGCAAGACCCAGGCAGGGACCCATCACGCATGTACTTCCAGAGTTAGAATCTGTGGAATTCCTCCCGCCTTCTCTGCACACCCCCTCAGCAAAGCATCTCTAGGGTTTGTTCAAAGCAAGGGCTCCACCACCCACTGGAGGTTTAGGGGGGGATGTCAGGGTTAACCAGAGGCAGGATGGGCCCTGAAGCAGGTAGAGCTAGCAACAGCCCGTTCAAGAACAGTTTAGCCTTTCCCTCGCCCACCGCTGTCCCGGGTTGGAAAAGCAGCATCCTCAATATCACACTGCCCTCTGCTGTTGAGAACAGGAACTGCAGGGCCCAAACTAGACCTTTTACTCCCTCCTCTCCCTCCTCTGGACCCACGGGCCTCCCACCGCCCCGGTGCCCAGTGCCGGCTAGCTCCCTGAAGGTGGTGTTTCCTTCCTCCAGCCCAGGTGTACAATGACATTAGCCACGGAGGCATCTTCGAAGATGGGTGTCTGGAGCGCAGCCATGTCTTCCCCAGCATCCATGATGCGGTCCTCTTTGCCCAAGCAAATGCCAGACAGGTGGCCCCAGGATCCAGCTTCCCAGGGGTAAGGTCCCTCCCTGCACCTGGACAACCCCAGGCTCCCAGGGCTCTGGAATCGTGGGTGTCCAGTGCCTGCTCTGGTGTTCCTGCGTCTTTGCTGCCTTACCTGTAAGACAGGTGCTGGGAAATCGCATAGCCTACCTCACGGGGGTTTTCTGCTTTCATTGTAGGTTGCAGGAGAATCGTATTGCTTACGTTACTCGAAAGCACTTTAGAATAGCTTGAAAGGATTGCAAAATCCTGCTCCAAGGTTACTCAACCCCCTGACCTTGGGAACTCCCAGAACAGGTGGCACGCCACCTAGTGTTCCAGCGTGGCTCACCTTGTCCCTTAACTCACCCTAAGGTCTTTGGGGAAGGTGAGGGAGTGTTCCCATTTTCCTGTAACTGAGCTTACAGATCTCAGGTCGCCGAAGAGGCCAAGTCTAGGTTTTGTCTCAGCTTTTTGGCTTTGAATTTGCTAGCTCAGGAAGCCACACACCAATCGGATACAAATCATGTGAGGAGGCATCCTCAAAAAGTGGGTAACAAAATGGAATGAAAAGGTGATGGAGTTTTCCCACAAACTTTGTGATGCCCCCTCATCAGAACAAGCCTACCCAGCCTAGGCCTCGCAGCCACCCCCACCCCTCAGAGGTCCATCCTGGCGCAGTCCCTGCCTTTGGCCTGGCAAAGTGGTGTTTGTGCCCCAGCCCTTGACAAAAACCTCCCCTGCCCTCTGTGGGTCATATGAAAGGCCTTTCTGGCCCTCGACCAACCCTTTGCTCTCTGCGGTAAGACACTGGTGAAGGAGCAGCCAGCTGTGCTCTGGGTCGAAAGAGTACCCAGGAAAACACAGGGCTTGGCTGCCACCCTCCACGTTGAGAGAGAAACCGTGGGGAGGGACACGTTTCCCTGTCTCACATGCCTTGTCCGGGAAAACAAGGGGAGGAGGCGGAATTCTAGAAGAATCACCATCTCACTAATGAATGTCAGCTATTACACATTGTGGATTACAACCAGATATATAAATGATAGAGAATGTATTCATATATAAATTTCTATATTTGGATATGATTTTATGTGCTTAAATATAAATTATGATGACAATTATATATTCGGGTATATCAATGAAAGCCATTCATCTGTATATTGGTCTCTATTTCCTTCTCTGTAGAATAGGGAATTTTTGGTATTTGTATACATAAATTACACACACATTTTTAACAATATGGGGTACTGTTACCCCATGCTGAGGAAGACACACCCACACATGCACATACACACACACACATACATTTTTAACAATGTGGGTTAAGGGACAGGAGCCCTGATGGAGCAGTGAGTTACACATTGGGCTTCTAACTACAAGGTCAGCAGTTTGAAACCACCAGCCACTCCATGAAAGAAAGATGAGGCTTTCTACTCCTATAAAGAGTTGTAGCCCTGGAAAGCCACCAGAGCAGGTCTGCCCTGTCCTAGCGAGTCATTATGAGTCAGAATTGGTGCAATGGCTGTGAATTGGGGTTTTTTTGAGGGGTTTTGTTATTGTTGTTTTTAATGGGGTAAGGGCATCAATGGGAGTCTGATTCTTATTTTTAAAGATGAGGACACCGGTGCCCTGTGAGGGGCAATGCATTTCTCCACCTAGGCAGCTGGTCAGGAAAACGCCACGCCTCGACAGAGCCTGTGCAGGGGGACAGGCGCTGACGCTGGCCTGTCGGCAGGTGCAGGTCAGGACTGCGTTGCTGCATTTGGTGAGGCAGGCGAAGGAGGCGTGGGAAGGGGCGAGAGCATGTTACACATCGGTAAACACGGTGTGCACCCAGAATTGACCCTTTGTTCTTCAGCCTGCCACGCAGTGCCAGACTGGTTTCTCCACCAGCGAGGCCATCAATGCCCGTTTCCCCCTTCAGATCCCAGTGGCCCCTGAGCTCTCCTTGTACGATGAGGAGGAGGACCAGCCCAGCTACTGGGACTTGGAACAGGTAAGCTGCCCTGTGTGGATGGGAGGTGGAGCTCAGCGGGAAAGGAGGAGACCCTCCCAGGCACGCCGTGCTCCTGGGCTCTCTCACTCCCAAGCTTGAGCAGCCACCTTGAAGGCCACAATGCTTCCTTCTCCTTTTTTCTTTTAATAGCAGATGTTAATTCTTCTCACTCCCTGCAAGGCATCTTGGGGGAAGGGAGAGACCCTGGGCCAAGTCCCAGAGGACAAATGGCTATTCTTAACGCTCCAGCACATCAGCCACTGATCTTGGGCAGCTACAGAACTCAGCTGAGCCCGTTCTTCTCAACTGCAAAATAAGGGAGCTATTACTTGTCTCCTCTGCCTTACAAGTGGGTGGGGGTGGGGGGGCGGGGGGGCCTGAGTCTTTTCCTGAATTCAGCAGATCTTTGTAGAATGCCTGCTACTTACCTGACACAGTTCCAGAGTGGCCGGATAATGAAGAGCCCTGCCCTTCAGAAATGTTCTGGTAGAATCTGATGGATTCTAGGGGTTCATGTGAACTATTGATGGGTACATGCGAGCAGGCCTTAAGAACTGAAAGCTTTGCCGTGCGAGGAAGGCCTATCCTCCCAGGCCCTCAGGGCCCGAGGTGAGCATTAGCACTAGCCCAATGTCCTGAATTAAAAGGAACCAGATGACCAGGCTTAGAGACAACTGCCTCAGATGAGGCCAAAGGCGCCTCTCCTTGCTCTACTTCCGTTCTTGGGACCTTGGCTTCTCTAGTGCTGGGGACATGTCTCTGAGGAGTTGGGGGCATGGGACGGACGTTAGGAGAGAGCCACCAAGATTTGACAGACTGAATTCTGTCTCCCTGCCCCCACCGTACCCCCCACTGGAATCAATGTCAAACATCATACCCATCAGCTCAAGTGGATTTCAACTCATGATGACCCCACACGCTCCATAGCAGAGCTGGCATGTCTAGCACCTTCCAAAAAGTGAAGGTGGGGCAGATGGCTGACCAGACAGAGCAAGACAGGGCTTTGGAGCCAGCCCAGCCCATCCACCGAGTGTTCTTGCGGAAGACACAGAAACTGAACAGGGAGAGGAAGGGTGTGGACAGCCTCGGCACCCTGGGGTGGGGGACTCTCATGCACACTAATACACCACATTCACTCCCACACTCATAGACTCTCCCACACTCACTCATTCCATACACCGACATCACACTCACACGCTCAGCTACCACACTCATTCACACTCTCCTATGCACACCCATAGCCACATGCACTGTCTCACACCCACAGATACACACTCACACTGGTACCCACACTCAAAGACACACACTGCCCCATACTCACAGATACATACTCTCCCTCCCCACCACGCACACCCCCTCATGATGCCTGCGGAGTCCCATCTTGGTTTCAACCCCTCTGAACCCACCAGGGCTAACGCTCTCGCCTCACACCCCCCTTTCCTTCTGTGGCCCCTGCAGGAAATGTTCGGGAGCATGTTCCACGCAGAGACCCTGACCGCCCTGTGAGGGCCCAGCCAGCTCCCTTGCTACCTCCAAGTACTCCCCCTGGAGGGGTCTCTGCGAAGAATGAGCCCAGGACCACAGGGCGGGCCGGTAGAGGAGAGCCCATCCACCAGGACGCTGGCTCCTCCCCACCCTCCTCCTCCTGCTCTCTCCTTCCCCTGCCTCCCTCCTGGCATCTCTAGAAAGAGGCAGTCTCAGCAGCGCAAAGAGCCCACTGACCACAGAGAGGGCCCCGGAACCTCTCCGACCTACGTCTGGCCCTCGGGGCCCTGGCAGGCAAGGAGCAAGCCTCCTGCTCACTCCACGCCACCCCCAGGGCCTGGCCATGGCGGAGCACCAGGACCAGACATCGTGGATTTAGAATGAGCCTGAGGACACATGCAAAAGTCTGACCATGCTGACTTGGAGCATCAGCCTTGAAAGTGTCCTTGGGCCCGTGTGGCTGGGTGATGGACAGTGTCGAGCGGCCACAGGACACAGGAATGGGGGCTGCAGCCAGGGGGCTTGCGCCTACCAGGAACTGAGCTTGGTCAGTGCTCAGTGACGTTCTCTCTCCAGCTGCAGCCAACCGTGTCCCTGACAGGTCTTCACCCCTGGAGCCATGTGCTCCCCACAGTTCCAGAGCCCCTGTCCCCTTCCTCTTTGCCCCAAGACTGCCAGACCGCCACTGCTCCGCAGCACGTCAGACTCTAGCCTGGGGAGGGGCTGGGGTCCTCAAGACCACTAAAGCTATGTCCCCAGGGCAGCCTCCCCTGAGGCAGCTGCTCTGGCCTCCTGACCCATTGTCAGTCCCCTGCCCTTGGGGACAACACCCTTCCCCTGGAGGCTGGGTACAAACCCCAAAAAGCCAGGGAGGTCTGCCACTCGTCGAGCCCCCTGGCAACTTGCCAAGAGATACCAGTGGTTTGGCACCAAGGCTCTCAGAAATCCTTCTTTGTCCCTGAGACTTGTCAGGAAGGAGGTGCTCGTGCCAACCCAGGCCAAACGGGTGGGAGCCGAGTCCTGACAGTTCCTTTGACATCAGGACGCATCAGGGAAACGTCTCCCTCCCCTTGGAAAACCTGCCTTCAACCTCACTTGGCAAAGATTCCCAGATCATTTAAACTCCCTGGTCAGCCCATAGCTCAGAACCACCTTCCAAGGAAGGAGCCCTCTATGGGCCGGCTGAGTTCCCCAGCGAGCAGCTGACCGTGCAGAGGAGCCGACCCATGTGGGAGCTTCTTCTACAGGGATCCACAGACAGCTCAGGACCTGGGCCCATCCTTCCAGGCAACCCCAAGACGGAGGTGAATTGTGTATACAGAGAGAGCTAGAAGAAACCCCACTCAGGACGTGAAAAGAAGGGGTTCCACATATAAGTGTTTTATAAAGTGTCCATAGAAGTGCACAGAACACCTTCCGGCTTCTCCCCACTGCTTCTCTGGAATTCCTTCAATGTCATGACTCCTGCCCCAACAGGTTGGGCTGGCCCCACCTGGAAAAAGGGAACCCTATTGCCCCCACCTTCTCCCTGGCCTGCACTGTGTGTCTGTGTGGGGAGTGAGCCCGTCCGATAGCCTGTCTGCTAGGAGTTAAAGGAATGGGTACTGGCAAAGGGCCAACGCATTCTTGGCCTCCGAGCATGGCTTCTCTGTGAATTCATTATGCCAACTGGCTGCCAACAGAGCTCAAAACTTGGAAGTCGTAAGACAATGTTATCTGGGATTCGCCGTGCCCAGCACCCGGAAGTGCCAAATTCCAGGAGGATAAAAAAACCTTAGCCAATGACAATTCACCCTCCCCTGCTCCACCTCCTTTAAAGTCTAGCTCAGGCCCAGGAGAAGGGGGGAGGGTGCCTTCAGTCATCCTGAGTCAGAGACCCTCTGAGAGCTTCCCTTGAGGACTCCATGCAGTGGCTGTGAATCTGAAGACCAGCCTCAGGACCCAGGGGGCCTGTTGATTCATGATGGCCCGGAGCTGGTCAAGGCTCAGGAGAGATCCGACAACAGGTCCGAGGGTCCACGTACTCACAGAGCCCACTGCAGAGGAGAGATTGGAAACACAGGGCAGGGGGGAGACAGCAGAGAAAGCTTCGCCGCTGGAATATTTTGAAAGCAAGCACAAACAAGTTCACATAGACCATCGCTTCTGGACGTGGTGGTGGCAGAAAGAGGGGGCGAGATAACAAAAGAATCCAGAATTTCAATACCTTTGACTGTTCTTCTTGATACGAACCTGTGATGATATCGTTCCCGGGAGGCCCGGGCCTATTGAGATATGTGTGTAATTTATTTAATTTAAATGCCGTTCTTCTTTTGTTCATTTTGGTAATAAAGTGGTTTTGAAATGTGAGTGAAGGCGTGTGCTTGGGAGATTTTATGGGTAGGCCATGAAGAGTCGCTCGCAGGTGCTCTTGCTTGACGCTGTCCTCTGGCCCAAAAGAGGAGGTGAGATCTCTTCGGGAGTCTTCCAGCTCCTGGGAATGAAGACACTCCCTCCACCAGGCTGAGGGGCAAAGGTCTAAGAGAGGAGATGTTCCTGAGAGAGTCATACGCAGAACCAGTACGCAGAGTCCACTCTGGCTTTGTGGCTAGGTAGTTGTTATTGATTAACTCATCACAAAGAAGGGAGAAGTAAAGACACAGCAGCCAGTGAGTTCCAAAATGACTACACACACACACACACACACACACACACATCTATCTCGCCACCACCACTGAGTCCATCCCAACTCACGATGACCCTAGAGAACCGAGGAGGGCGGCCCGTTGGGTTTCCAAGGCCGTGCATCTTTACGGAAGCAAACTATCTCATCTTTGTCCCAGAGCGGCCGGTGATCTTTTGGTTAGTATGTAAACCACAGCTCCATCGGGACTCCCTGACCTAATGTGCAGTCTTGTGCCATCGTCTTAATCGTTGGTACAAATTTGATCTCATTGTTCTAGCTGTTTTGTCCATCCATCTCCCCGAGGAGGAGGATTTTCACTGACCCCTACTTGATGTCTGTGATCCTTACGGCTGTCTATCAACCTGGCTGGAGCATGAGTCTCAGTGGTTTGGCAGTGGTGATGTAATCACTCTTCATGAGGAGATCCGATAGAATGTAATCGCTTCCAAGATGAAATCTGCCAGGAACATCCAATTCGCTGAAAGGAAGTTTCCTAGAGGTATGGGCCGTTTTCAATATATATGGACATTGTGGCAAAGCTTACTTGGTTTTTGCTGGAGCTGAATCCTGAAACTGGCTGGTCATCGACTGACTATCAGTTCTTTGGACTTGACTGCGACTCTGGAAATTGACTCATTGGCCACCACAGCCTGTGTGTGAGTCAGCTTCCTTCCATCTTAGCGGCCAGCCTTGGATCCCTCCATTTCTGAAGCCAGCAACCAATCTTGGTTCATGAGCCGTGCAGCCGCGTGAGTCAGGAACCTCCAGTCTCACGGGTGGTCTATGAACCTAGAACTTAACAGCCTCTACGGTGATGTGAACCATTTCCGTGAAATAAGTAGACTTATCTATATATCCATCTTTACATCTATAACCATACACACATCTATAAGCTTCCCTGGCTCTGCTTCTCTACAGAACCCAATCTAACACGGGTTTGTGGGTTTTTTCCTACAATTGGTCTTTCCAGATAATGTGTCCCAAGGAAGTCTGCCCGAGTCTCGCCACCTTCACTTCTGTGGTTGTATTTCTTCGAAGAGTGATGTGTTCAATCATTTCTTAGACCGTGTTAAATCCAACATTCCTCATCAGCACCACAGTTCAAGCAGATCAGTCCCCGCCGCCCCCCCCCCCCCCCCCCCCCCCCCCCCCCCCCCCCCGCCCCCGCCCCCCAACATATCAATTTTTCTGCTGCCTCTTTTGTTGTTGTTGTTCACTGTGTGTCTATAAGGGAAGTCAACATACCATCACCTTTTCTGGTTACGTTTCACTCACCACTCTTCAACGTGAGGGTCTATTATTTGAAATGAACTGTCTAAAGAGGCCAGTCCCAACAAGATTCAGCAAAGCTTTCAGACTCTTTAGCTCAAGGGAACACACAAACTAACTTCACCTTCCCATGCCCTGATGGGGGGTCGACATAAGAAGGGTAAGATCGCTGGACTGCGTTATCCATTGAGCAGGGCTGAGTCCCGGCTTTGTATATTAGCTGTAGGAAATGAAAGAGGATGAGAAGGATCACATAAACACAAAGAGCAATGGGTGAAGAAGGCAGAAATCGGATGAGGTGGAAGATATGAAGAAATAGATATGAGACAAGGCAAAGGAAAGAGGAAGACGAATGAGCCTTGGGACTGAGCTACAAAGAACAGAGAGAAGTGGGTCAAGGGAGGAGGGTGATATATTGAAGAGGCAGAGAAGTCAGTGCGTTCCAAAGAAGTCCACTTTGCACTGAAGACATTAGCCAAAAACGAGGCTCCAGGAATTGGTGTAATATCAACTGAAATGTTTCAACACGCTGACGAAACCCTGAAAGTACTCGTCAATGAAAAATAAATTGGAAGACAGCTACTTGCCTGACTGACAAGAAGAGATCCATATTTGTACTCATTCCTAAGAAAGGTGACCCAAGAGAATGCGCAAATTATAGAACCATATGACTGATGTCACATGCAAGTAAAATTTTGCTGAAGATCATCCAACAATGATTGCAGCACATTGACAGGGAGCTTCCAGAAATTCAGGCCAAATTCAGAAGAGGACATGGAACAAGGGATATCACTGCTGATGCCAGATGGGTTTTGGCTCAAGAATACCAGAAAGATGTTTACTTGTGTCTCATTGACTACGCAAAGGCATTAGACTGTGTGGATCAGCACCTACTATGGAAAGCCTTCGAAAGAATGAGACTTCTAGAATGCTTCATGGGGTGCATGGGGCGCATGATGCGCATGGGGCGCATCCATGTACATAGATCAAGAGCAGTTGTGCAAACAGAACAAGGGAACACTGCATGGCTTAAAATCAGGAAAGGTGTGCGTCAGGGTTGCATCCTCTCACCACACTTGCTCAATCTGCATGCTGAGCAAGTCATCAGAGAAGCTGATTATATGAAGAAGAATGTGGTATCAGGCTTACAGGAAGGCTAATTCGCCACCTGTGACATATAGATGGCACGTTCTTATTTGCTGGAACGTGAGGGGGACTTGAAGCACTTGCTGATGAAGATCAAGGTTTGACTCTCCAGTATGCATTACAACTCAATGTAAAGAAGACCAAAATCCTCACAACTGGACCAATAGGTACCATCATGATAAACAGGGAAAAGATGGAAATTGTTAAGGATTTAGCTCCACAGTCAATTCTCATGGAAGCTGCAGGTCAAAAGATCAAATGATGCCTTGTATTGGGAAATCTGCTGCACGAGACTTCTTTAAAGGGTTGACAAGCAAGGATGGTACTTTGAGGACTAAGGTGCCCCTGACCCAAGCCATGGTCTTTTCAATCTCTTCGTGTCCATGTGAAAGTTGGACATTGAATAAGGAAGACCAAAGAAGAACTGAGGCGTTGGAGTTACGGTGCTGGTGAACCATATTGGAAGTACCATGGATTGCCAAAAGAAGGAACCAATCTCTGTTAGAAGAAGCGCACACCCAGAGAGCTCCTTCGAAGCAAGAATGGAAAGACTTCGTCTCATGGACTTGGAGCATTCTTCCACAAGGAACCCGCCTGGCCCTGCTGCTTGGCTTCCTAAATGTAGGGGTATTTGCTCAGAGAACCGGCACTCATGAAAGGGGGTTGTGGAAAACTCAGACTTCACAGAAGAAACCGCCCCTCCGTGCCTGCATTGATTGACCCGTGTTCCTTTGAGGGTCAGACAAGGGCTTTTCCGGTGACGTGTGTGAGCTCTCGGGAGGAAATCACCTTACCAAGAAGTGAGGACGCTTGACCTCTCTCATTGACACGGGGGCAATGTTCTCCACCACGAAGCCTACCAGTTTGTCGAAGTCCTTACCTGAGAGTAAGAAGACATCTATTGTGGCAGGTAGTAATAATCAAGAACAAATTTTAATTCACTCCTTACCTGTTTCAGTATATTTTCGCCCTACTGCTTAGTAGGACACACCTGTACACATATTACAGACATTTTAACTAAACAGCATTGCTGGCTGGCTTTTATGGGAAAGTGTTAGCTATCAATTCCTGAAAAATCACCTGAATCGTTGTATTATTAACACCCCCTCTGTCCCACCAAGCCTTCGAGGATACTATCTGTTATTTACAGGTTTTGAAGATCTCTTTTTTTTTTTATTATACCGAGGAAAATTGTTTATTTTCATAGTTCATTTAAATACGTTAAATCTGTATACTTTCTTTGCCATTATTTACATAAATCCATCTCAAAAACATTTTTGTTAAACATTTTGGACCAGAACTAAATGAGAATGTTCTGAGAGAACGTTTATTCAAAATAGTCCTATGCCTGTCCATACTTAGAGAATGTTATTCTAGTTAACATTGGCTTAATGAAAAGTATACAATTTCCATTAACATGGCATTGGTTCCAACTCATAGTCACCTTACATAGGGTTTCAGAGACTAAATATTTAGGGGAGCAAACAGCCTCATCATTCTCCCACCACCAGCTTAGGGGTTTCAACCACTCACCTTGCAGTTAGCAGCTCAACACCTAGTCCACAGTACCACAGGACTCCATGATGAATTACCATTCACATTACCCAAAAAGTTTTATACTAACAGGTATAATAAATGTCACTTGACATGTACATCTATTCACTTATTTGACAAATACTTATTGAGCCTACCATGTACTAGACATTAAGCTAGTGAGGGTGAGGCAATGAATTGAAAGATAACATTCCCACCAATATGGTTATTGTGTTAGTCTGGGTAGACTAGAGAAACAAATTCACAAACATGCATATGTATAGAAGGGGGAGGTTTATATACAAGAGCAATTGAACGTTGAGAAAACATCCCAGCTCAGTCCAGATCAAGTCCATATGTCCAACAGCAATCCATGAAGCCCTCTTCAGACTCATGAAACACATGCAATGATGCCGAATGCAGGACCATCACCGGCCAGTGGGTAGAAAGTCTTTGGATCCAGTGGCGCTCTAAGCATCTAAGCACTGGCAGGGGTCTCTATGTGGCTTCTCCGGCTTCAGAGATCTTGTCAGCTGCCATGACTCCCAGGGAGTAGCAGAGAGAGATGTCGTGGGCCTCCAAGGAGGAAGCCCTCTTTTTTTTCTTCCCCAAAAGCACTTTACTGTATTAGCACTGGGAGCTAATACAGATATCATATCATTCCATAGTTCAATCACATCTAGCAGTATTGTACAATTGCTATCATGATCAGTTTCAAAGCATTCTCTTCTTTCTT